CAATACTGAAGTGCAGATAATTGCCACTATTTGCAACAAGTAGTATACTTGATAGTAGAAATCCTGTTATTTTAACATAGTGTAAATAGGTATTTGCACTTAGTGTAAATAGCATATTGCTAAAAATACTGCTATTTTAACATAGTGTAAATAGAATCCATTGCTAATACGAGATTTGAAAAGGGAGGGAAAAAAAGTTCGGCAAAAGACGGAATCGAACCCGGGTCGATCGCATCAAAAAGCTAACAACCCGTGTTTATCCATCTGCGCCGCTGGAGCTGATGTTTTATAGCCACTTTTAACTAAATGTAAATAGACACCCCGTATTTTTTATTCCATAGTAAGGGCAATTCATACAATACATTTAAACTGAGCTACTTTAATACTATCTCCGAACTTTCTACCACGACTCTGCTGTTCTTCGGCTGGTTCTTCCTGTATACGTTGATTGACAGATGTCTCGTCCAGTCAGCGGTGAGTAATCCCAAACCAATGGCGCTGTCTCAAACTATACCTACCTCTTCCGGTTTGTCTGATTTGTCGTTGTGTTTTCTGACTTGTTAATTTGTTTTTTAGACTTGCATTTGCATTTGTTATTTTGTTTTCAGAATTGTGATTTGTTTAGCACTTCTCGGCCACCGTACGAATGAGCTCTTTTGTGTTTTACTAACAAAAAAACGTTAGTAGTTAACCGAGAAATTGTTAAATTAGATTAGAGTCTAACCAGGTTACTGGGCAAAGACATGGGAAGAATCAATGCAGTTCTAGTTAAAGCCAAAACATGTGATCTTGGCGATTATTAACCCGGCTTTAAGATTGGCAGTGGACTAAACCATTTGTCTCACCCTAGGTGGATTGCAGGGCGTTGTACTAATACACGTTTTGGGTTAATCTCGTCAAACCGGATTTGCAGTCACTGAATACTGTTCCACAATATCGTATATTAGTGTTCAAGAAGTAAAAGAAATGTATAAGAGTCCATATTTTTAAACACGCAAAGTATTGTTCTCTTTTGG